CACACACACACACACACACACACACACACACACACACACGCACACACACGCACGCACACACGGAGATAACACCGGGCTACAGGCTGGGCGGGGATCGCCACCTCGCTCGCCAGCTGGCCCAGCGCTGGTCCCCGGCCCGCGTCACGGTCCGAGAGTCCCAGGGTCCCAGTTAGTCCCCACCCCCACCCCCCACCCGCCCCACTCCCGTCCCAGGAGGGATCCCTTCTCACCAGCTGCAGGCAGCAGAACCCGACCAGCGTGCACCTCCCGTTACACTTGCTCATGGCTCCAGTGGGACCAGCCGCCACGGCGCTGCCCCCTTGGCTGTTGCTGCTGCTGCCGCCCCGACTCCGGCTCGGGCTCCGAGTGCGCTGCGCTCTGGCTCGGCTCCGCACCCCGGGGCTGGCTGGAAGGCGAGAAACAGGGAGCCAGAGAGAGTCCTCCTCCAATTCCTTCTTCTCCTCCTCCGCGTCCTCCCCGCGCCCGCGCCCGCGCCCCGAGCTTCCAGCAGGGCGGCCGGGGCTTCCCTAAGGCTGGGGCCGCGCCATCCCCCGGGCGCGGCGCGGGCTCGGGCGGCTCCGCTCAGTCTCCATGCCCCGCGTTGGGGGCGCTGGGCACCGGGGCGTAGAGCCCGAGTCGGGGCTCTTTTGTTTGACCCGCCGTCCGCCAGCAGCGCCTCATGCCCCCAGAGGCGGGCGGGCGGGCGGGCAGCGGGAGCGGAGAGACGGGAGCCGAGCGGACCAGAGCCGAGCGGAATGGAGCCGAGCGGAGCGGAGCAGAGCCCAGCCCAGCTGGGGCAGGATCCCGAGCAGTCTGCAGCCGCCCTGGCCCTACCACGTGGCTTCGCGGCCCGGAGAGGGGCGGGGCCCGGGGACGGACGAGGGATAGTGGGGAGGGGGAGAAACAGAAGGAGGGCGTGAGAGGAGAGAGAGGAAGAAGAGAGAATAGACTTGGGGAGGCTGGCTGCAGGCGAGGGTGGTGGCAGAGCCTGGGAGACCGGAGCAAAAGCGGCAAGAGGAGGGAGAAGGGAAGAGGACCAATAAAACGGCAGGGAATAGGCCTCAGTTTCCTCATCCGTAAAAATGAGCGGGTCGGACCAGATGATCTCTCGGTTTCTTTCCAGTTCTAAATCTCAGGAACCTATTTAATTAGGGAGAGGAAAACCGGGGAGGGAGGGAAGGAGAGGGGAAGAGTAAGGCAGACAAAGAAGAAAACTTGCCGAATGGGGAAGACTGGGAAGAACAAGGGAGAGAGGGAGGGGCTGAACTTTCTCTCCCTGGGTTAACTGGGCCTGGGAGCAAGGTTAAGGCACCTCCGCTATGCTCTCCCTCCTTCCGAACACACACTGGCACCCCACCTCCCTCGAGGTGGTCAGGGTGAGCTCAGAGCAGAAGCTGTATTCTACGAAGCTCAGACAGGGCGAAAGAATAAGGGTTGGAGGTGAAAACCTCACCAAACCTCGGCCACCACTCAAAGCTCCCAGGACCCAGAAAGGAGGGAGTGGGCAGTAGAGAACCAAGGACTCCTTACCTTTGGGGAAGAACTAAAGGATCTCCCTGGAGTCAACCCCTCAACGTCATTTGTCCCTATAGCACCTGTCACGAAAAGGCCTGGGAGGCTTTCCCCCAAAACTCCCTCCTCCACTGTTGGATTGCAGTTCCCTGAAATCCAACCACTTTCAGCTTTGAGTCCAGAGGGCAGAACACAGGCTCCAGAAGTGAGGCACGGTTTTGTTTTTGTTTTTGTTTTTGTTTTTTTGTCTTTGCATACCCAGTACCCAATTACACAATGACCGGCCAGCAGTAGGTGCTTGAGCAGCGCTTGGTGAATTGAAATTCATCTTTGCTTTCTCAGGGTTATGCTTTGAAACTGCCACCCCTTTGGGGGCAGCAAGAAGATAGCACAAACCAACTGAAAGGCAAGCCACCCTCCAAGGCACTCTCCTGGACACCTGGTACCTCAACCCTTTTCTCTCTTGAGTTGAAACTTCCAGTCCTCCTCCTTCCAACCTGGTCTGAAATTCCCCTGGCTATCCTGGCCAGGTCAGGCATGAATGTTTCTTTTCAACCTCTAGTCCAGGGGTTCTTAACCTTTTGGGGGAGTCTCGGATTTCTTAGGCAGTCTGGTGGAACCTATGGACCTCATATCAGAATAATGTTTTAAAATACATAAAATTTAAAAGGAAACATTATGTTGAAATATTTATCAAAATATATATATATTTTAAAATTCATGAGTCCCAGTTTAAGAACTTGGTCTAGTCCAATGTAGAAAATACAGAATTGAAAAATACATGCCTTTATTGGAGAAGGTAAGAAGAAAGAGAAAACATACTAACTTCAAAGCTTAGGTCAATGTGACAAAAGGCTTCTAGTTGTCATTGTCAAACCCCAGTCTGACCCGACTAGGGCCCCCCTCCTTCACCTCCCCCTCTCCAAGCCACTAAAAGTGTTTTTTCACTTCTTCCCCTCTTCCTGACCCCTTAATGGGTAGAAGGGAACAATAGGTCTGTCTCAGTAAAGGTCCCTAAGGCTAAAAAGTCTGATCCCTCTCAGAAGAGTCGATTTACAACTCAAAGGTTGTGACTGACCCCCATCCAAATCTTCTTGGTGGAATGAACGGATACACAGCAGACTCTCTGAGAAGGTACAACAAAGAAAGATCATTTCTTGACCCATCCTGCTCCTTGGAGCCTAAACCCCTGCTCTCGATCCATGAGTGTTTGTTAAGCTCCTACTATGTGCTGGGCCCTGGGAACAGTCAAAAATGAAACTCCCTTTGAGAAGTTCACTTCTGTGGAGGAGACAGCATTTGCATATATAAGTTTATACACCAAGGAATGGAGACTGGACTTTCGATTTCTTCGCTGGCATGGGGAAGAAACTCAAGTTACTTCTCAGGCGCTTTCTAAGCGTCTTAAGGGCTTGGAGAGTAAGTTGTCTAGCTATAGGACTTTGAGATGTTAAGTAACTTTGTCTAGGTTACCTGTCAAAGGCAGGACTAGAACCTAGGTCTTCCTGACTCTGAGGACAACTCTCTAATCGTTACCTCAAGGAGTTTCTATTCTACTGGAGGAAATCAGCAGGTGACCAGATGTCAATGCAAAATATATTTTGCTGGTTTAAGAAACTCCAATTCAAGCCTGTAGTCTTAACAGTGTTGCTTGTGATCACTAAAGAAGTTAAGTGACTTGTCCGGGGTCACACAGCCAATAGGTATCAGAGGTGGGACATGAACCCAGGTAAGGGTCTCTATCCATCATGATATGAAAATATATTCAAAGCAAATACACAGTAATACAGGGAGGTCAAGGGAGAGGAGAGAGGGGGGGAGGGGGAGGAAAACACTAACAACTGTGTATAGAAATAAAAGTCTCAATAGGAGGCAGCCCTTGAGTTGAGCCTTGAAAGAAAATAGAGATTCCAAGAGGTGATTTGTGGAGGAAGAGTACGCCAGGCATGAGGGGCAGCTGCTGCGAAATCAGGGAGTTGGGAGATGGCATGTCATTGCAGGGGGGGAGCAAGCAGGCCAGCTGGGCTGCTTCTTACAATGGGCGAGGGGGAATCATAGACAATCAGCCTAGAAAAATAGGTCCTCTCCACTGAGCAGCCTTCATTACTGGTGCCACTTATCAAGATCACTAGCACTGACTCTGTGTGTGTGTGTGTGTGTGTGTGTGTGTGTGAGTGTGTGTGTGTGTAGCACTTTGGAGTGCTACAAAGAGGCACCCCAGAGTCTTGATGGGATCAATAAAGATAAACCGTTCTATGCTACCTAAATTGAAATGATAATGAATGTGAAGGCAGGGATCTGTCTCTATGTAAAATAGAGGCACCAGAGCCACTGAACACCTGAGACCATTGACCTACCACAATTATTGGTGATACTCTACAATCCATCCAGCTATTTCCCCTAACCATCTTGCCATGTGCCCTGCTGATGCTCTGCCCTGCTTTTCCCCTCCTAAAATATTTATTTTTTGTTTATTTATTTATTTATTTATAGGCAGTTGGGGTTGTGACTTGCCCAGGGTCACACAGCTAGTAAGTGTCAAGTGTTTGGTCTGAGGCCAGATTTGAACTCAGGTACTCCTGACTTCAGGGCAGGTGCTGTATCCACTGTGCCACCTAGTTGCCCCTTCCCCTCCTAAAATAGCAGGCTTCTGACTAAATATCCAAAATATCCAAAAAAGCCCCCAGTTTCTAGGGACTCAGCTTTGAGAGCCTTGTCCTAGGGATGAGCTATCTTGATGGGTCAGTGAGGGATTAACCAAACTCTGGTTTGACCATGCCTCTCCTCCTAGTCAACTGTCTACCCTAGCCACCATCTTATCAGCTTTCAATCTTGCTCTGGGCACTGTAATCAGTGCTTTTGGAAATGATATGTTAGTTGACTGCCTCATGGACCAACTTAGCATCCCTGTGACTCCGGAACAAAACTCCCTTTCCTAGCTTCTGCCACTCACTCTATATTTGTTTTCCCCTGATTTGAATGAAAATATCTTGGGAACAGGCTTGTTGATTTTGTATTTATACCCTTAACACCGTGCCTACCATGTGGTCAGTGCTTAATAAATGCTGTTCCATTCATTCATTCATTTATTCCTTCTCTTTAGATCACTCCTAGTCGGTAAGTTGTCCCTTTTCTTCCTCTCCCCCTTTCCTTTATCTTCCCCCTTTGCCCTCTTAACCATCTTCCTTTTCAATGGTTCTCTTCACTCTGGGACTGGCATTCCCACTTTTCCCATAGTTCCTCCTCCTTTCCTCTTTTCTCACTAATCCCTTCCTTTTCTTTCTCCTTCCTTTTCTTCCTCCCCACCTATATATTAAAACAAGCCCTCAAAGCTACAAAAGTGTAAGTGATGGCTTTGCAATTCAGATTAAGAACCGACCTGCGCAGCTGTGGGTATATAGATGCTACTAGGCACTGTGTACAGCAATTTCTTTTCATAAAATCAAAATTGGAATTTAACATCATTCAACAAACATTTATTAAGCACTTATGTGCCTAGCCCTGTGCTAAACATTGGGAATGCAAAGACAAAACTGAAAGTCTCCAACTTCAAGGAATTTGCATTATACTAGAACTAGTCACTTACTTGAAGTAGGAATAATAATATCATTTATACAGCCCTTTAAGGTTTACAAAGCTCTTTATAAATCTTATCTCGTTTGATCCTTAAAACAACTCTGGAAGGCAGGTGCTATATTATCTCCATTTTACAGATGCGAAAACTGAGGCAGGCAGAAACAAAGTGATTTGCCCAAGGTCATGCAGCTAGTAA